CCTGCGCTGTCCCTCGGCCCCGCCCGGGGCGCTGCCACACGGACGCTGGCGGCTGTTGTCCTGGACGAGATGCTGTCCCAGCAGCTCCCGTGGAGGCGGCGGCAGGGGCTTCTGCAGCCGAACGAGAGCGATGAGGCCTGACTGGAGGAGTGGAATGTGGACGCGGCCGCTCAGAGACGCTCCGTAATAGATTCTTCCCCGAACACAGGTGGCTCACACCCCTGCTCTCTCACCGGCTCAGGAGCCCTGGCCACAGCCCACTGCCCGATGCCGTTTCATCCGCGTGAGCCTTCGCTTTGGTTGCCACTGCGCTTGTTTGCTGCCGGGCATGACCTCATGGTAAGGAGCCATGTGAGCGACGGTGAGAGCTTCAACCAAGGACCCACCTTCTCCTCTTCCTCTGAATGAGGTGTGTTTCCCACGCTGTGGGCGTCTGAGTAACCTGCACCTAATCCAGGATTTCCTCCTGATGTAACTGGCGAGGCCCGGGGTTGATCCACAAGGCGCTCTGGGAGCGGCGCGGAGCCGAGGACGGAGTGTAAACGCAGCTCCTTCCGCGCCTGGGCCCCGGACGGAGCAGGTGTCCGTGGAGAGACGAGTGGCTGGCTGTGTCTGCCCCGGAAACGCTGTTCTCAGACGAGCTGCCACGTCAGCTCTGGAGCCACGGGCACCGAGACCAGGAGACAGGCGGCGGGATTTGTTATTTAAAACATGTTTTCAGATTTCACACTTTCGTTTCCAGTTATAAACCCTTGTGCTTGAGATGATGGGTCCATCATCATAAAGGACGAGACTCCCCAACACCCACCTGTTTCCCTACAATTCAAACCACGTATGCCCTTCCTGTTCCCTCCTTCCTCCCCGCTTCCCCTCGGCGCTGATGCCTCAGGGGAGGGCTCGCCGGATAAACATAAACACAGCAGCAGGGATTCAGATGCAGGAAGGAACCTGCCAGTGTTTCATTTACCTCTTAACGACCTCACCATCGTGACACCATTTCACAGACAAGAAAACTGAGTCGCCGGAGTTCCCGCCCCATTTCAATGGTCTAACACGTGGCCGATCCGGAACCAGAACCTGCTCCAGACCCTGGGTCACCCTCACTCCCAGGAAAAGGAGAATCCTCTGTGGGCCACTCACACCCACCAGGGAACACAAACACCCATCCTTGGTGAACTACTGTGAAATTCCAGACAGCCAACAATAAAGGAAGATTCTAGAAGCTTGACCAAAAGAGGAGATGACAACCACGATTAGGAGTTAAACTGCTGCCAGACTCCCAGAGGCAGCACACAGGGCAAAGGGCAATGGGGCTGCATTTGTAAACGCTGAAGGAAGAGAAACCAAGAAAATAAAATGAGATGATCATTTTCTATTTAGAAAGTATCGTTCAGACGTGATGTCATAAGAAGGACATTTGTATTCAGTTAACAAGAAAACCAATCCCAGAGGATACCCCAAGTCTAAATTATAAAATCTCATCAGATTCATGGTGTCTAAAGCAAATTAAACCCAGAACCAAAAGAGAACAAAATACAAAGTGTGGCCAGAAACTGTATCCGCGGATACTCCAGCCAGCGCGCTTGGGCCCGTCGCTCTGACGCGGGGTGCGGAGGACGGCCCGCCCCGCACGGGGCTGCCCGGGTATCGGCTGTGTCAGGGGAGAGACGGGCGGCGCGGAGTTTGAGAAATCAGTAAGAGTAATCAACACAAACAGGAGTCTGGAGCGACCACAACACCCGGCATCTGACAGGCACGTCTGTGAGTAACTAGGAGAAAACTGCCGCGCAGTCACAGGCCGGCCAGGAAAGGATCGGGTCCCACCCGGGCAGCCTGAGGTTGGATTGGGGTTAAATGCATTTTCTCTTATGTCACCCGCACAGGCCGGCAGCCCGGGGGCGCGACTCCACCGGCAATGACTGGGCCCCGGACTCCTGCTGTGCCGCCCCCACCACGGCCTCCACTCAGGGGCAGCTGGTGCTTCACCCCAATAAAGGCTGAGCCTTCACCGCGGCACCTGCCCCTCGGGGGAGAGAAGCAGCAGGTGCTGGTCAGCAAGCTCTGAAGGCACACGCGGAGACCCCCCACGCCGCCACCTCTCCACTTGCTTGGACGCCCCCCGTCCCCCAGCCCCCCTCCCCCCCCGGCCCCCCGTCACACTGCAGAAGATACTCCAAGTACAAACCATAAAATCGCATCAGATTTATGGCGTTGAAATCTAGTTTCGGGAGGCGTATTCCCGTGGCCTCATGACTATAAAACTCAGAGCTTCTGGAGTCGGAAAGAAAGGGGCGCTGCCAGTGGGGTGACTGGTCATTCTGCCCCAGTCCTGGGAGGCAGGGGGTCGCCCCCTCTCATGGGATAAAGGGCCTGGAGCAGGAGCAGACGCTGTTCCGTGGCCACACACTCGCAGGCGCTGGTCCTAAAGCTGGACGAGCGTATGTCTCCCCCAGGGTCCACGCTCCCCCCGGCAGCACACGGGCTCGGAGCTCTGCCTGCAGGACCACGCGGCCCCTGCTGAGGAAACAGGACCCAGATCAACGGGTGAAGCCGGCGGGGCCTTGTCGAGCTCTGCGGTTGTCGGTGCATTTTGCTGTCATTGGTCATGTGTTTCCACGGCACGCACTTCCTGAGAGAAAAGTCCCCAGAGCCTGGCCGGCGTGGCTCGACCTATGAGCATCGACCTACGAACCAGGAGGTCACGTTCAAGTCCTGTTCAGGGCACAGGCCTGGGTTGTGGGCTCGATCCCCAGTGTGGGGCGTGCAGGAGGCAGCTGGTCAGTGATTCTCTCGTATCATTGATGCTTCTATCTCTCTCTCCCTCTCCCTTCTTATCTGTAATCAATAAAAACATACTTTTTTAAGAAAGAAAAAAGCCCACAGAAGGCGAGACTGGAGAGGATGATGAAGAGGATGGTGACGGTGGGCGAGGAAGCAGGTGCGTCTCTGAGACGTGGGTGCAGGTGTGGATTTTACAAGAGCTGCCTGTGTGCACGTCCCAGCGACGTGGTAGACAGTAAAGACGTCTCCCTCCACGTGCCCCGGATGGAGGACGTTTCAGACAGAGGACACACGACAAGCACTTCAGAAGCATAATTGGATCAGAAATGTAATGAGATGAGAGCGTCTTTTCAATAGGAATAATGGGCCAGTGGAAAGGGCTTGTTCAAATGATTAGTGATCCAAATGTAAATCTCAAATGGCCCTGGTTTAGACGGAACGTAGACTGAGTCACTTGTGCCCTTAAGTGGTAATTCCAGAAAGTGTAGCGTCCAGGAAAGAGCAGCTCAACAGTTAAGTTGTACCACGACCAAACCATATGCTGAGAATATCCATTAGTGCTCCATGCACACCAAGGGGCTGAGTCCGAAGGTCCACATATTTTTATTTATTTTCTTTTGTCTACTATTTTAATAGAAATTGTATTGTGTAAGGTATAAACAGGATGATCTGATATACATCCTATATAATAAAAGCCTAATATGCTAAGTGTCTGGTTGTCCATTCAACCAAAGTGTAATCCTATCTAATAAAAGACAAAAAGGGTAATTGACCGTACCTTCGCTACGCTTCCCATTGGCTAATCAGCGCCATATGCAAACTAACCTCCATCAAAGATGGTGGCTAATTTGCATACTGCAGGCAGGGCTGGCCAGCACCAGACGCCATCCTCGCCCCGTGTGCGGCCCTGGGCAGCCGGGCTTAGGTGGCGCGATCGCATCACCTAAGCCCTGCCCCAGCCAGGACCCCCCTGTGCCGCCTAAGCCTTGTGCGCCTGAGCCCCGCCCCCAGTCGGACCCCCGTGTGCCGCCTAAGCCCCGTGCGCCTAAGCCCCGTCCCCAGCTGGACCCCCGTGTGCTGCCTAAGCCCCGCTGCCAGCTGGGACCCCATGGCGATCCCAGAGCAGGCAAGTGCGGAGGGCGGGTGGCCCCCAGGTGGGCCTGCTCCTGGGATTGCCATGGCGATCCCAGAGCAGGAAAGTTCCCCACAGGCAGCACCCAGGTGGGCCTTCCCCGGGTCTCTACAGTGATCCAGTGATCCATGAGCAGGAAAGCGCAGCCTGCAGGCAGCACCCCACCCTGGCCACAGCTCAAGGGAGAGAAAAACACACAGTGGAGGCCAGGAGCCTGAGAGATCAACACAGAGGGGCGCCTGCTCCAAGCCTCCACGGTGTGGCTGGGGGCAGGCCCCCAGCAGACACACACACACACACACTCACACACACACACACACACACACACACAGGACGCCTGCTCCGAGCCTCTGCTGCCTGACTGTGGCCGTCAGTAGGACATCCACTGAGGGCTCCCAGACTGTGAGAGGGGCAGGCTGGGCTGAGAGAACCCCACCCCCCAGTGCACAAATTTTGTGCACCGGGCCTCTAATATGCTAATGATATGCTAAGGCCACTCAACTGCCCGCTTATGACGTGCACTGACCACTAGGGGGCAGACGCTCTGACCAGTAGGTTAGCTTGCTGCTAGGGTCTGGCCTATCAGGACTGGGCGAGATGGGGCTGGACATGCCCTGGAGCCCTCCCACGGTCCCTCCTGCAATCCCTTCCCTGCCACTGGCCCTGATCGGGACTGGGCGAGATGGCCCTGACCGGCCTGATTGCTGGCCAGGTGGAGGGACTCTACTGGTGTGCGAATTCGTGACTGGGCCTCTAGGATACAGAAATGATTGCTACAGTAAAACCAGTGAACACATCACCTCGTATAGTCACCATTTGGGGGTGACGGAGCATCTGAAACCGACTCTGTTCGAGTTTCCCAGTATTAACTATGGTCCTCATGCCGCACATCAGACCTCCGATCATCCAGCCCCACAGGGACACTAGCCTCTGACCAACATCTCCCACGTCCTCCACCCTGTCCCTGGCGACGCAGCCCCTGCTCTTGTGTGAGTGGTATGTGGATTCTCTGTGTGTGTGGGATCGGGCGGTGTCATTCACCTCCTGGGCTGGCACATCTCCCCGGCGCACTGTCCTCCAGGCTTACCCTCCAGGAGGCGCTTCTGGCTCCGGGGTGAGGAATACTCCATGTCGCGTGCTCCGCCGTGTCTTTGTCATTCATCTGTTCGCAGATACTGAGGTCGTGTCTGATCCCGGAGGTCTCGACTGACACTGCACTGAACCTGGGAGCGCAGACATGGCTTCCGGGAGCTGACTTCATTCCCTGTGAGCGCACGTGCCTGTAAGAGGATGTGTAGGATCCTAGGAAAGCCCTATTTTAGTTCTGAGGAACCTCTATGCCGTCCTCATAATGGCCCGACCGTGATGAATGAGTCACTGAGTGGATGAATCCAGGCAAATTGTAATCGTGAATGTAAACGTGGGGAGTTAGGAAGAGCTCAGTGGTGTGAGGGTGAAAGCTACAAGGCTGAGGCTGTCGCTGCTCTAGGCATGGATTCCGCCCGCGGGAAAGGAAAGCCCAGCGTTTCCTGGAAGGGCACGGAGTGATTCCAATAGGTGATGGTAGTTGTTGTTGTTACTCCTCACCTGAGGATATTTTTCCATTGATATTTAGGGAGAGTGGAAGCGAGGGAAAGACAGAGAGCACCATCGATGTGAGAGAGACACATCTATCAGTTGTCTCCTGCACGTGCCCCGACCAGGGCCCTGGCCAGGGAGGAGCCTGCAGCTGAGGTACATGCCCTTGACTGGAATCAAACCCGGGACCCTTTGGTCCACAGGCCGATGCTCTATCCACGGAGCCACCGGCCAGGGCAGCTGATGGTAATATTTACCAATTACAGTTACAGTGCATGTCAGTACAGAGACCAGCCAGATCTGTGCTTGGATGGACAGTCACTGTCTAGATTTGGATGACAAAGTGGATTTGAGGCCTTGAGCACCAGTGATGGGGAATGAGAAGGGAGGGAGCTGAGATCGGGCCTGGGGAGGGCCATGCCGAGGGGGGGACAGGAATTGCACTGATCCACCCTGAACCCAGGGTGGCCCTCCCTCCCCAGGTCCTTAACTCAGCCACACAACCAAGCCCACTGTGTCCTGCGAGAGAACGCGTTCCCAGGCGGCCGGGACTAGGACGTGGAGCCCTCCGGCAGCAGAATGATTCCGTCAGCTCCGTCATCTCACATTATCTCACAGGCTACGCAGTCACTCCCAGGGACTGTGACTGCTGATCAGAAGGGTTACAGCGCATCTTCTCTGCGCCATGGAGGGTCTGCAGAAACGGGATATGAATGCTCGTCCAGCTCCGACCCGGCACCTGCATGAGCCCTGGCCCCCAGGGGGTATATGCTGGCGCCCAGGACATAGAAAGCTACGAGGGAGAGAACACAGACACACAGCCAGGCCCCGTCTCGGCAGCAGGAGAGTCTGAATTGACAAAAGCACAAAAATCAAAAGCCAACCCACTAGTCAGTGCGAAGACAAAGTGATGCTTTTATGAAAACAGGACCAAACCAAACGCAAACAAGCCCAGAAAGCAGGCGGCGGGTTTTCAGGTGAGAAATACTGTCAGTGAGGTCATGTCTTCGTTCACATTGGCTCACACGCATTTCTGAACGCAGGGGACACTGGTCTCAAACCAGGTTCCTGGTGCCATTCCCCACGTTACTGATGGCCGCTCTCTGGGTCTCTTGTTATTTTATTTCGAGAGAGTGTTTCTGTCGCTTTGTGCAGAGTGAAATTCCTGAGCACAGACAGGGCACGTGCGGACGCTTGTTTTCCGCCATCAGATTGGACGGAATCTCATTTCGGAGGCAGTGCTGGGGGGCCGTTTCCAGAGCCCTGGGCCACCCGGAGCCCCTCAGAGGTGCCTGGACCGAACTGGCTGCAAATGAATGCGGACAAAACCCCCACACGAGCTTCAGTGGAAAGCAGCCAGGTGTCCTGTGGACTGTCCTCCATCTAAACTAAAGCAGAGGCAGCCAGCAGATCAGCCCAGACCGAGGGCAGCGAGGCCAGAAGCGACTGGGAAGAGCGCGTACGCTTTCAAATATTTTGTGAATTAAAAGGCAATCAATCTTGTCCTTTTATCTACTTACATGCCTGTTCCTTTAAACTTTATAAAAATATTTATATATATTTATAGCTTCTCTTATCTCCCGAAACATTTCCAAAGTAGACTGGCCGGCCTCCTCGGTGCTGTTTCAGCTAACGAAGAAAGGGAGGAGTCGCCAGTTTATCATAAGTGGTTAAAAAATATAATCCTTGGCATTATCCTATTCCTGACAGAAGATTCTACAAAATATACCATTTCATTTGTGTAAAACGTCAGAAGCAATATAACAGCGATGACTGCGCCAGAGGCGAGGAGAGGGGCGAGGCCAGGCCAGGAGGAGGTGCCGGGATGGTGCTGTATCCTGCACTCGGCGGTGGTCACATGCGCTGTGTGTTTGTCAAAACACATTGCATCTTAAATTGATCAATATCTTACCATATAAGAAGCAGAAAAGTGAAGGGTGACAATGAGCCCCCAACAGTCGCACGTTCCCAGTTACTGTCCAGAGCACTGGTTGGCCTGGCCCCGCCCCCGTGGAGGCGACAGCAGGGTTGCAGGCTTTAGCCAAATCTGCAGAGTCTCACACCAGAGCATCAATGCAAAGGGCGTTTACGTGCCAAAAACAGGAAATGACACGAGGCTCCAGATGGATCCCAACTGGCTGAGGCCAAGGAACAAAACGCTTTGGCGCTAACGTGGGCATCTTAGCCGCACAGGAGTCAACGGGATGCCATGCTCGTCACAGCGCACCCTCCTCCCCAGAGGAGCCCGATGCGAGGGGCAGGCTCTCCTGGGTGCTCCGCCAGGACCCACACTCACCCGGGCCCAGCCACACTCACCCAGGTCCGGCCACACTCCTCCAGGCCCGGCCACGCTCACCCCGGCCCAGCCACACTCACCCAGGCCCAGCCACACTCACCCAGGTCCGGCCACGCTCACCCCGGCCCAGCCACGCTCACCCAGGTCCGGCCACACTCCCCCAGGTCTGGCCACACTCCCCCAGGCCCGGCCACACTCCCCCAGGCCCGGCCACACTCCCCCAGGCCCGGCCACACTCCCCCAGGCCCGGCCACACTCCCCCAGGCCCGGCCACGCTCACCCCGGCCCAGCCACACTCACCCAGGCCCGGCCACGCTCACCCAGGTCCGGCCACACTCCCCCAGGCCCGGCCACACTCACCCAGGTCTGGCCACACTCCCCCAGGCCCGGCCACGCTCACCCCGGCCCGGCCACGCCACGGATACAGGTGAGCAGAGTCGGGGGGGAGAGAGTGAATGGGAGGAGCTTGAGAAGATACAGTCCCGCCCCCATCGGAAACACCCTGCCACGCACCCTTCAGGGCAGGGTCTTCCTGAAAATGGAAGCCGTTCTTGTGGTCTCCTCTCCCCTCGGCCAAGTAGTGGTGTCCTCTGGCGGGGTCTCGCTGGAGCGATACATATGGACGGGACTGTAGAGACAGCGGTTCTGAGGAACGATGATGAGGGGAGCAGGCGTGGGTGCTCAGGGAGTCCTTTCTGAGGATGCAACGGTGGTCTCAGCGCTGACGTAGAGGGACGGTCACAGGGTTCCAGCAGGAGAACATTTCCAGCAGAAAACAGAGACGTGCACAGAGGTGAAGTAGGAAAAAGCCTGAAATTGTTAACAAAAGTATGACAACAGCGAACCAATAAGAGTGTCGGAAGGAGGTCACAGGGCCACGGAGAGCCGGCGGGTAGCCTTGGAGTCCACCGTAAAGAATCCTGATGTTATTGCACTTACGATGGGGCCCATATGAAATAGGTCAGTGAGGTTTTTTGTTGTATGTTTAAAAAATAGATGTGATTATTTGAGAAATAAACCCTAAGTGGACAAGAGTAGAGGCAGATGGATCAATCTGAAGGCTACAGAGTCACCCAGACACGAACCAATGTGCCGGGGATGACGGTCATAGCGGTGGATTCAAAGGCCTTCAATGCAGGGTCCACGCCCCCTGGGCGGGGCCTGGTCAGCAGGCTGCCCCGATGTGAGGCGTGAGGGGCTGTGGACAGAGCAGCGTTTGCTCCAGAGAACGGCTCTCCTGCTCCAGTCCATGCAGGTTCTACTCGTTCTTTCAAAAAAACATCGCAAACATCTCTCTTGCTTTTGTTGTTTTGCATCTTGTTCATTTGTACACATACTTACATTTACTCCAAGCACAAGAGCTGTGTCTTATTCTACCTCTTAAAAAGCCCCATTTCCTCATGTTTGGGTCTGTTGTCAATTCTGTGTGTACTAGGATGTTTGGAGCTGTCTGTGGGCACACGGACAATTAAACACCAAATCGCATTTTAATTTAAACTCTCAATAATTTCTAACAAGCAATTATTTAAGAGAAAGTCATTGTACACTATTATTTGCCAGGCGGTGAACTAGATCTTACTTAGCACTAATTGTGGGGCTGCTTCAATGCCAAGATCAGGGGATGAGATTCTCAGAGCAGTGGAATTGATGTCCCTGTAGGGGAAATGGAGTTCCTGCTGCCTCAGCAGAGGACTGTGATAAACACTAAATAAGTTCACGTAAATAAAATGCTCACTGATGCTAAAGTTACATAAATATCGAGGATTATTGTAGAGACCAACAAAGTCTAATTGCACCCACCACCCTCCTCTTCGTTCTTCTATGTGTTCATTCACTCCCGTAACAAATACCGAGTCCCGCCTGGGCCAGAACCGAGGCTCTGCCCGCATCCCTTATCCCTGCGCTCCGGCACTGCTCCCCCACCTTCCACACCCTCCCCCTCGCCTCCAACTGGGTGTTTATGGGACCCACCTCGCTGGGTTGCTGTGGGACTGAACGAGTTAATACACATAAAGAACTTAGAACAAAACTCGGCACAGGTCACCGTACTGAGTGTCTGTTGGTGATGATCACTCGTGTCGTTCTCATTAGGGAATATGCTCCGGACTCACACACTTACAGGCTCAGGAAGCGGAGAGCAGGTTTCAGTGTCACACAGTATGCTTCTCCTCGACTTGGAACTTGAAAAAAAAAAAAAGGATTTCTTCTGGACACATAGAGCATCCCCTGATGGACTTTAGGGTTGTTTCAAGGCAA